TTTGCAACCATTTTTACATAAAATTTACATTTTTCTTATTTACAGTTATTTGTAGAAGGTTATTGCAAAACTAGTTGTGCAAGTAGATTACACTGTCAATACCACATACCAATGTTTGAAGAAAATATTTGCTAAAAAATAAATATTTCTGCACAGAATATTTCAAAAGCATCATGATTTCATGCTACATTATGTGCATAAAGACTACAAAGTAGTATGTGTTTTGGTAGTTTGTTTCATTTAGTTTAAAGCATTCCAAAGTATTACTTAACCAGATGTGAGTGAGCTTCTTTATATGAGATGACTGACACACATTCTTTTTTTGAAATACATTATTCTTTAACTTGCAAACATTCTGATATAATACATTTTATTACCAAAATTATGAAATGAAAATATCAGGTAAAAAGATGTAATGTGCCTTTAATTAAAATCCGTAGGTGCCTAGGAGATAACTAGGGGTTCTGCAATATTTTTACTTAATTTCTTTTACATTTGGAAGAAGGGTGTCATATCATTTCAATGGTATTTTAACTATAAGGGCATTTGAGGCGACTCTGTGAAGGAGTTAATTATAAGATAACTTATCCTTGAGTTTACTCTTCAATAAGAATGATGACTACATTTGAGTACATTTCTTATGTATTCAAATACTTAACACATGTAATAGTGAAAAATAATACAGTTAAAATGTTCACAGTTGTGATGTTTCACAGTTGTGAATTTTAAAACAATACCAAAATAGAGGAAGTCCATAGAATATATATTAATCATACAGTGTTTTGAAACCACAGGTGTCCCAAATTATATCACGTTTTTCAAAATATGAATTAATAGAAGTTGTCATGAGTGCAATTTAGTCATTCATCTCATTTTTGACATTAGCGTTTCAAGAATAACCATGTTAATAATTCCACTTTTCAAAATATTTTGTTGAGGCCATTTTTATAATTTTCTATTTAAAAGTTTAATTTTGATTGCTAGAGCAGTGTAATTGGTCAGTTGAGTATAGTGTTTTGTGCACACTGCATTTATATACGTGTTTTGTGCTTATATTCATAGTAATAACAATTGTTTAAAATAACATCTGACTGGTCATCTCAACCTCCACTTAGTCTATATAAATAAGCCTTGCAGTAATCTCGTTTCACGCTCCCAAGTATTAATAATTCATGTCTTCTGTAAATTTTCTTTTCTATATTATACATCAAAACAAAGTGTTTGTGCCACAAGAGAAGGTAATGAATTGTTCTAAACTTGCGCACTCATCCATCACAATATCTAATACTTTATAAAGTAGTTAAAACATGATCCTTCTAGGTTTTAAAAATGCTAACAATCACTTGATCATAAGTTAAATATAACCACAAGAAAGTTGTTTTGAATTAAACACTTGAGAAATGAGAGAGAGAGCTACTTGCATACATAGAAAACAACTGAAATGCAAATGTGTTTTAAGGATGTTGGAAAAAGGCAATATTTGACAACTATAGGGATACGAAAGCAGAGGAAGATTCCCTGACACTGATATTCTCTTGTTATTAGCAATGAGATCTTTGGGGTGTGGGTGAAAGTCACCTTCAGATTTTTGTTACAGAGTGTTAAGTGTGTTGAGTGTGGGGTTGAGGAACCAGCAAGAGAAGAGGTTAAGTGCTGCTCTTGCACTAATGCCATAAAACCACTCTCTTTGTGATGCACAAGTCACAGGATCTTACAGTTGTCCTGTAATTTGTGTGTTATATAGCACTTCCACATATAAATTCAGAGGATCCTCAACACATACCTTCAAGGAATGACATGCTAAGTCCAATTTGTACTTTTGGATACTGGGGATCACTGGGAATTTATCTCAGGAATAACTAGAGAAGGTAGGATTTGAATTCAGGTTTACTGCATTGAGCCCCTTGCCATGTCTACCATTCTACATGAGAGTTTAGGCAGCCTAAGATATGTATAATGTATCTTGCAATGAGGAAGCGGGTCTGGAAATAATCATTACAACTGCAAAATTCTATTTTCTGTAAAAATAGAAAGCACATTTACTTTCAAAATTGCATTCTGTAAATACATGTTCAAATATACATCTGTGAACTATAACATGTCCAAGGATGGACTTCCACAGTGTGCCAGCCTTTATAGAATACATTCTGGTAGTACTGAATTGGACATATCACCTTTGCATACTTGGTGTTTAACATTGATTCAGAGTAGATATGTTTTTAAAAACGAGAGTCATACTCCCACTATTATTGTTGTAAATGGTATTACTTTAAAGCTATAAACCTACTAGTGCAAAATACAATTAAGAGAGATAATAGCTACATTTAGGTTTTTCTGAATCAAAAATATTAGTCTTGGTAACATTTAGTTAGCAATGTAACTAATATGTTATGCAGAAGCTAATTTGTGGAAAATTACCTGTTTTTTCCTGATTGTTTTCAATGTCATGTTTTTTGGGTAAGAAACAAAGATTCTAGCATTTTTTGAGCACCTACTGTGTGCCAGGCACTTTACTATATTTTATCTCATTTCCTTAAGATTTTGTGAGGCAGATACCACTATCTCATTTTTTACAGATTCAGGAAAAGGATTCAGGGAGGTTATTAATTTGCTTAGGGTCACAGGGCATATTAGTGAAAGTGTTCCTGTTGAGATTCATTTGGTCTGATTGCGGAGCCTATGCTTGTTCTTCTGCATGGTGAACTAATTTTGGGGGGTACTGGGTATTCAACACAGTGGTGTTTTAACACTTAGCTATATCCCCAGTCCTTTTTTTTTTTAAATTTTGAGATGGGGTTTCTCTAAGTTGTTGAGACTGCCCTCAAACTTGTGATCCTCATGCATCAGTCTTCTGAGTCTCTTGGATAAGAGGCAAGAGCCACCATGCCCAACTAATCTCAGATTTTTAATGTGCCTGAGGATCATGTGGATGAGAGCTTTTTCAAAGGTGATTGCCAAATGCCAGCCCCAAATTTTCTGATTAGTGGATTTGGGGTAGGGTCTAAGAATATGCATTTTTAATAAGTTCTCTGGTGATGCTAGTACTACTAGCTTAAGAACCACACTTTGAGGACCACTGCCCCATGTCATAATGTCTTCCAAGTTCCTCTTTGAACTCACATGATAGACATATTTATTTTACTCAAAAAAAAATGTGACTAGAAACAGTAACATTTTAATTTTTGATAATTTATAAAAGTTTTGATTTTTTAACTATGAAATCTATCTATCATCTATCAAGATAGATCTGATTTTGGTTTTAATACTGGAGAAGAAATTTAAAGACTTCACTATTTTAAATTATAAAATATTCAATGTAAATATCGTTAGTTCTAATAACTGATCAGTCTACTGAATTCCTTTTGGTAACCATGAAAATATTCAGGGGAAAGATAAGTATTATTTGTTAAATATTATTATTATTTTAGATATGCCGATGAGGTTAAAGGTTTTATCTTTAGCTAGTACAGTATAGAATGGAATTTAAAATGACATTTGCATAAGAACATTTTTCTTCTAACTGTTCTGGAACCATTGTTAATATCAACTTTCAAAAAAACTTGGTACAATTATAGTACAGCAGTTCTGATTCAATTATACTATAGCAGTTCTGACAGTGACAGGTATAATAGTGACACCAAACCTGACACCAAACCCTGACTTAGTTTCTATACCTCCTTGCTAGAAGAGTAGAAAATTTCAATTCTGATGAACAACCCCTTATAATGGACTCAACACATTACTCTTCCACCTCTACCTGCTGCTTTCCCATGTTTTTAAATTAGTGATTATTAAATTAAAAACCCTGTGAAACATTGTATCAGCCTTTTTATTTCTGGTTTTCTATTCAATTAATCAAAGTACAAGAAATCCCATCTCAAAATTAATTGTATACCTTAAAATGTGATACAATTTTAAGGCTAAGTTTCAGCTCTCTGTTCAGCAATGAATATCAGCATCTAATCGGCATGAACTGTAGATTTTAGATGACATTTTATTTAGGCCAGGGGACCAGGTAATATTATTTTTCAGTGGAAAGTAAAAGATGTTATGTTAGTACTCCCAATTATCTCAAGGGAAAATAGTTCCTACACTGCTGTTTTTGATTGACTGCACCACTGACCTGGCCTTCAGCAGGTTCCCAAGATTATGTCAGACTGATTTTGCTACAGCTGATGGGGAGGGCATTAGTGCTTTTAGGCATCAGATCTTTCACTGATTTAGGGAATGAATTTTGTACATATTAAGTTAATTGATTTGGACATCCATAGGCCAGTTTAACCACTGAGTCTTTTGACACTTATGTCCAACTTAACCACATCTTTATATTGCTCAGGCTTTTTATTTTAAAGCTAACATCCTGTGGGAAAGGACCTAAATTTATAATCCTGTTCCCTCTCTTAAGACTTCAGATTTTACTATCAAGAAGTTATTTTATGTCAAGGAATTAAAAAAGAAAAGCAGGTTAGTGTTATGCTAGAATTTAAACAAGCAGGATACTTGCACACTATTCTCCATCTTCCCATTCTTACATGCTCAGTTTTTATGAAGTACAAATAGAGGCTTTGTGTGGATGGCTGAATTTTATGCATGTCATATCAAATGTTGCAGCTGAAGCATTCACTAATCAAACAATCAGATCTCAATTCCTCACCTGCCAAATCCTCTCTCTACAAATGAACAGTCTCTAGTGAATTCATTCTGAATGTTCCTGGAGCTAAGGCCTATAGTCCTTATGAAATTTGTTGCAGCTGTAAAAAGTGTGCCCCAATATGGAAATAAATCCCTAAATAGACTTCAGAATAAAAGTTAGCTATTTATGTGACTCTCTCTCCCCGGTTAGGCATCCATTACATGTTTGTTAAATGAAGGATTGAAGTGGCAGATAGTCCCAAAGTTGCTTCTGCATAACACTAAATGGTTTAGGCAGCTGGTTTCAATATTATACTTTTGTTGAATTGACTGGTCTTTTGATATATATATATATATATATATATATATATATATATATATATATATATATTTGATCACTTACGACCTTTTTTTATTAAGCAGAGATGAGAACATGCTAATGCCTATCTATGGATTTCCTTCCACATAGATTCTCAATTTATGTGGCCATTTGAAAATATACAGGGAGCAATTTAAGGTCACTTAAGTCACATTATATACAGTGTAATCATTTTTGGAAATTTATATAAATCACTTGCATTTGAAACTGACCAATAGATTAGTGTCAAAGGTGAAGACAAATCAATAGATTCTGTTTTTTATCCTGAAGGGATAGAAATTAACCCATTTAAAAATGTGCAGATAGAACATGTCTTTAAATATTTATATGAATGTAAAACTTAGTGAAGTGATAAGAAATTTCAAAATCTTAGTTCAGAAGAAAAGGCTATAATGGATTATTCCATAATACTTTAAAATTATAATTAAATTAAAAATAAAATCTCTTAACTTGAACTTGTCTTTGTATTTATTTTCTGTATTCTGGTATTATGAGAACTATATGACCCCTCAACCTAACAATTGAAGCTATTAAAATATATCCTACTGAATGTTCCAGTACTCTGGAGTCAATATATACTAATTAAGCCCAATCTATACCGAATGTATTTGTTCTTCATCTTAAATTAGCAAAGTGTTTGAACAGCCACAGAAAATTTAAGTTTAACCATTGATGTGTGCATTTTTTCCCTAGACATCTGGAATTGGACAGCTAGAAAACAACATAGACTTTTTGAAAGATAGGCCATGCACATGAAATTGCATGTTCTTTGAAAAAATTCTTCCAGCTTTCTTGGTAAAGAAAATTATGTGGATCTACCATTTTGATCAAATTTAGGATTGCCCTACAATATGAATTGGGAAAAAAGCTGTGATTATCAGTTTGTATCAGTCACACTTCAGCAGTTCTTAAAGAAGATCCTCTCCCCATAAAAGGAAAAGTTCAAGAAACTTGTATTTTAGCCTTCAAGGAAATGTGTGAGTGTAAACTATTTTAGATGTTTTGTGAATGCAATTAGTGACAGAATTTTAAATAGAAAGACCTTTTCTCATTAATGTTGGTTTGTATTCAATGTTGAAAGAAATGAAAATACTTCTCTGTAAAATATGAGATTGTTGCTGAAGACAATAAAAATGCAGGAGAGATTTCTGCCTTTTCAATCTGTTTGCCTAAAATCAGGACACAGTTCATAAAAACAAAAGGTCTTTCTATTTTCCTCCCACCGTCCTGCCCAAAGAAAGGATGTAAATTCTCCATTACAGCAGATTGCTTATCAGCTCAGAAATTGCAGCTCCAAAGAAATCTGGGAGCAGACTTTACTCCTTCCCACGGTTTTCCCGCCTTTGGAAACCTGGGACTGCTTTCTTTTTGTCCTGTTACTTCTCTAAAATGTATTTTCTTTGCTGAAGATCTTATATAAGTTAGGACATTAAGCCACTGCCTTGAGTTACTTCTGAACTGCTTTCAGTAATAAATATTCTTATGTTTCTCTTGTTAAAATATTCTGCCTTTTGTTACAGAAGTATGTCTTGCTAAAAACTTGTTAAGAATTGAGAAAAAATTATATTTTCTCCCCTCTAATATGATCTACCTTGCTTGCTGTCTGAGGCTACAACTCTCAAAATTTGCATTTTCTTTTTCAGTATGGGGAAATGAATGTAAGCAACTATAAACATCTCAATACAGAAGGACATCATTTCTCAAAAATGACTAAGTCCCCTTTATCCCCTTGAATTTCCGTAAGTTGAGGATCATCTGAGTTGCATCCAAGAACAGTTTTATCCCTTGGTTTCTTATTTGCTTGGAAGGCATTTTCATGACAAAGTACTGGTTTAGTAAAAGCAGTAAATAGGAGTCTCCATGCAAGAGAAATTGGAGTTTCCTAACATGCAGATGATTTTGAAAATAAAAATAAAAAATAAGGTGCCTTGCGATGCTGGCAGTTTTAACAATTGGAACCAAAAGTTCTTAGGTATATTTACATCTTAACTGCTCAATTTTACCTTATAAGCTTCAATTTAGGAAAATATACAGTACTTTTGCATATAATGGTACCTTGTGAGCCCCTGAGTCAAGTAGAGAGGATTTAAATACAAAAAGGAAAACAGCCATTAAAAGCACTTACATTGTATGTGGAGTAAATAATACAAAATGATTATTTCCCTGGAAGACCAGGATCAGAAACATGCCTATGAAGACCCAAGATTCCTACAGTGCTTAAGGAAGAATCTGGCAAAGAAGGATGCCTTATTGGGTGAAGGTAAGTTTTTCTTTGTCGTAGGTGAAGCTCTAAAGAGACATCACTGTCTTGTTTTAAAAGTGAAGTCAAGTTGTCTTCTGAAGCTGTGTTCAGATGCACCCCACTTGAGAGGGATTCTTTGGATTTAAGTTTGGATTTTTCAAGGTCTAGAAATTCAGGACACTGATAGAAAGAAAAGAAAACACATTTTTATAATTCACACCAACAGTCATCTAAAATTATATTTATAAAATTCCAGTAATTTTCCACCGTTAATCTTATCAGTGGTATTAAATTAACCCATGTTAAAAAAAATTAACCCACATTTTTATCCTAAAATGCAAAGACATTGGATGCCCCATGATCAGTTTAGATAACCCTTAAATAATTCCAAGAACTTTAATTTTACTCAGATATCAAAATTATCAGATTAAAAAAAAATCTCGCTTTGAATTTTTTAAATCAGTTTAACTCAAAATTTAAGACCAAGATGTGATGGAAATTATGGCCACTTGGTGACTAGATCTATTGGAGAAGAAAGAAGAGAAATAATAAAGGAAGTAAAATCATCACACTCATCAGATGATACTATTTGAATCCCCTATAAATAAAGAAATACATAGTTTTACATGTTTCCCTTCCATTAAAAACTAAAGATAAATTAATGCCTATTTTCATATTTTAGAAAGATTGCTATTATTTTCCTTCTGGCACATTACCTTCTGTTACTAATGTGGTTTCATTTCCTAGAATTTTTACGTAACTTCTCAAACATTTAAAAAAACTTTTACAAGGTTATTCTATAAATCCTTATTGAAATCATCATTTTTTAGTATGATTTGGCTGTGATGTTTAAGTATTTAAAGCTAATGCCCAATATGGAATTCCAATGGAGTTAAACTTTTCATATTAAAAAATTCAAAAGGAAAATTAAGAAGTTCAGAATAACCAAAGCAATCCTTAGGGAGAAAAGTAAAGCAGGAGGCATCACAATAACCAACCTTAAATTATACTATAGAGGTATAGTAACAAAAACGGCATGGTATTGGCGCCAAAACAGATATGAAGACCAATGAAACAGGACACAGAGACAAACCCACATATGTACAGTTATTTCATACTAGACAAAGGTGCCATAAACCTACACTGCCTCTTTAACAAAAGGTGCTGGTAAGATAGGAACAAAGGACATGTAGTCAGTATAGATAGTAAATGATCCAAATCATCCCAAGATGAGGACTGATCACCAAAGAAAAGGAAAGGAGTTGCTAACACCTCCTGAACATTTCCCTGGCTCAACAGGTTGCTAACACCTCTGGGGAATCACACATTCCAACATAAGAAGTTGCCAATAATTATCCCCTGGGCTGTTCCTTTTTGCCCTTAGGCATCTACACAGGAAAGAAAGAGAAGGTTAGAGAGAGAGGAATACAAGGAGGGAGAAGCAATCTAGGATCTACAAAAAAGACAGACATACCCACTCCTGTGGGCACCCAGAAGCCTGCTAAGGCTGTTCTGTCTCTTTCTTAAATATAACTTGCTTTCTATGCTTGTCTTGGCATTTCTCGCGTGTTTAATCTTCAACACAGGGGAAATGAGGACCTTAACCTGATTTCCAAGACTTGTATCTCTGGGAAAACTGGAAATCCATATATAGTAGAATGAAATTAAGCCCCTATCTCTCACCCTACACAAAACGGAACTCAATGTGGATCAAGGGCCTAGGCATTTAGAACAGAGACCCTGCACCTACTAGAAGAAATGTAGGCCTAACTCTTTGTTATGTCAGCTTAGAAACTGAATTCCTCCACAAGACTCCTATAGGGCAATAAGTAAAATCAAGACTCAATAAATGAGATGGTATCAACTAAGAAGCTTCTTCAAAGCAAAGGAAACAATCAAGAATGTGAAGAGAGAGCCTACAGAGTGGGAGAAAATCTTTGCAAGCTGTACCTCAGATACAGCATTATTCTCCAGGATACATATAGAACTCAAAAAACTTAACAGAAGAAAAACAAATGACCCAATCAATAAATGGGCAATAAAACTGAATAGGCACTTCATAGAAGAAGAAATATGAATGGTCAGCAAATATATGAAAAAATGTTCAACATCTCTAGCAACTAGAGACATGCAAATTAAAACTATACTAAGATTCCATCTCATTCCAGTCCGAATGGCAATTATCAAGAATACAAGTAACAGAACGGGAGCAGCGGCCTGCTGAGAGGCAGAGCCGCCCCCTCCCCCTGCGCCGGCAAGGTAGACGGAACTGTGACCACCCACAGAACAGGCCCAGCGGCCTGCTGAGGGGCAGAGCCGCCCCCTACCCCACCCCACCCCCGCGCCTGCCAGGTAGGCAGAACTGTGACCACCGACAGAAAAGGCCCAGTGGCCCGAGGAGGGGCAGAGCTGCCAACCACTCCTGCAAGGTAGGCGGGCCTGTGACCCACCAGCAGAACAGGAGCAGCGGCATGCTGAGAGGCAGAGCCGCCCCCCCACCCCGCGCCTGCAAGGTAGGCGGAACTGTGACCACCAACAGAACAGGCCAGACCTGCAACCGACAAACAGAACAGGCCCAGTGGCCTGCGGAGGGTAGAGCCGCCCCCCCACCCCCGCGCGCCTGCAAGGTAGGCGGACCTGCGACCCACTGGCAGAACAGCCCCAGAGGCCTGCAGAGGGGCAGTGCCGCTGCCTGCGCCTGCAAAGTAGGCAGAACTTCGACCACCGACAGAACAAACCTAGCGGCCCCCAGAGGGTCACAGCCGCCGCCCGCGCCTGCAAGGTAGGCGGACCTGCTACCGACCGGCAGAAGAGGCCCAGCGGCCTGCCGGCGTGGTAGGCACATTGCCCCAATTGGAGGAGGGGCAGAGCCACCGCCCGCGCCTGCGAGGGAGACTTTGCAACTATACAAGACCAATATAAATATATAGGGGGAAAATTCAATAGCACAAAGTTTCACCAAGCAGAAAGAAACTCGAACAGTATGAAGAGACAAGGAAAGAAAGGACCACAAGCAATGCAGGTCAACTCAACGTTAGAAGAGGTAATAGCTGCAGCAGATGGAATGTCAGATAAAGAATTCAGGATATACATGCTTCAGATGATCTGGAGTCTCAAGGAAGACATCAGACAGCAAAATCAGACAATGAAAGATCACTTCAACAATGAATTACATAAACAAATCCAAGAAGCAAAAGATCAACTATACAGGGAGATAGAGGTTATAAAAAACAAACAAACAGAAATCCTAGAAATGCAGGAAGCAATAAACCAACTTAAAAACTCAATTGAGAATACTACCAGCAGAGTAGAACACTTAGAAGATAGAACATCAGACAATGAAGATAAAGTATTTCAACTTGAAAAGAACATAGACAACTCAGCAAGACTGTTAAGAAACCATGAGCAGAACATCCAAGAAATATGGGATAACATCAAGAAACCAAATTTAAGAGTCATTGGGATACAGGAAGGGACAGAGTTTCAAACCAAAGGAATGAGCAAACTATTCAATGAAATAATACAAGAAAACTTCCCAGACTTGAAGAATGAGACAGAATCCCAAATCCTAGAAGCCTACAGGATGCCGAATGTGCAAAATCATAAGAGATCCACACCTAGACACATTATAATGAAGATGCCCAACATACAGAATAAGGAGAGAATTTTAAAAGCTACAAGAGAAAGGAAGCAGATTACATTTAGGGGTAAGCCAATCAGGATAACAGCTGATCTTTCAACACAGACTCTGAAAGCTACAAGATCCTGGAATAACATATTTCAAACACTGAAAGAAAATGGGTTCCAACCAAGAATTGTGTATCCAGCGAAATTAAGCTTCACGATGGAAGATGAAATTAAAACCTTCCACGATAAACAAAAGTTAAAAGAATTTGCAGCTAGAAAACCATCTCTTCAAAACATCCTCGGCAAAACATTACAGGAGGAGGAAATGGAAAATAACAATGAAAACCAACAGTGGGAGGTAGGACAGTAAAGGGGGGAAAATAATCAAAGAGGAAAACAAACCATGTTTAGTAACATAAATAAACAAATATGGCTGGAAGAACAACCCATATCTCAATAATAACCCTAAATGTTAATGGCTTAAACTCACCAATTAAGAGACACAGGCTAGTAGAATGGATCACAAAACAAGACCCAACAATATGCTGCCTACAGGAGACGCATTTGATAGGAAAAGACATACATAGGCTGAAGGTGAAAGGTTGGGAAAAATCATATCACTCATATGGACTTCGGAAATAAGCAGGTGTGTCCACACTCATGTCAAATAAAATAGATTTCAAGCCCAAGTAAATCAAAAGGGATAAAGAGGGACACTACATACTGCTCAAGGGAACCATACACCAACAAGACATAACAATCATAAATATATATGCCCCTAACAATGGTGCAGCTATGTTCATCAAACAAACTCTTCTCAAGTTCAAGAGTCTAATAGACCACCATACAATAATCATGGGAGACTTCAACACACCTCTCTCACCAATGGACAGATCTTCCAAACAAAAGTTGAATAAGGAAACTATAGAACTCAATAACACAATTAATAACCTAGACTTAATTGACATATATAGAATATACTAGCCAACATCAAGCAGTTACACTTTTTTCTCAGCAGCACATGGATCCTTCTCAAAAATAGATCACATATTATGTCACAGGGCAACTCTTAGACAATATAAAGGAGTAGAGATAATACCATGCATCTTATCTGATCATAATGGAATGAAACTGAAAATCAACGATAAAAGAAGGAAGGAAAAAGCATACATCACTTGGAGAATGAACAATAGGTTACTGAATGATCAATGGGTTATAGAAGACATCAAGGAGGAAATTAAAAAATTCTTAGAGATTAATGAAAACACAGACACAACATATCGGAATCTATGGGACACATTGAAAGCAGTTCTAAGAGGAAAATTCATTGCTTGGAGTTCATTCCTTAAAAAAAGAAAAAAACAACAAATAAATGATCTCATACTTCATCTCAAAATCCTAGAAAAAGAAGAGCAAATAACAGCAAAAGAAGTAGAAGGCAAGAAATAATGAAAATCAGAGCTGAAATTAATGAAATCGAAACAAAAGAAACAATTGAAAAAATTGACAAAACTAAAAGTTGGTTCTTTGAAAAAATAAGCAACATCGACAGACCCTTAGCCATGCTAGCAAAGAGAAGAAGAGAGAAAACTCAAATTACTAGCATACGGGATGAAAAAGGCAATATCACAACAGACACTTCAGAAATACAGAAGATAATCAAAAATTATTTTGAATCCTTATACTCCAATAAATTAGAAGATAGTGAAGGCATAGATAAATTTCTTAAGTCATATGATCTGCCCAGATTGAGTCAGGAGGATATAGACAACCTAAACAGACCAATATCAACTGAGGAAATAGAAGAAACCATCAAAAGACTACCAACTAAGAAAAGCCCAGGACCGGATGGGTATACAGCAGAGTTTTACAAAACCTTTAAAGAGGAACTAATACCAATACTTTTCAAGCTACTTCAGGAAATAGAAAAGGAGGGAGAACTTCCAAATTCATTCTACGAGGCCAACATCACCCTGATACCTAAACCAGACAAAGACACTTCAAAGAAAGAAAACTACAGACCAATATCTCTAATGAACCTAGATGCAAAAATCCTCAATAAAATTCTGGCGAATCGGATACAAAAACATATCAAAAAAATTGTGCACCACGATCAAGTAGGATTCATCCCTGGGATGCAAGGCTGGTTCAATATACGGAAATCAATAAATGTTATTCACCACATCAATAGACTTAGAAATAAGAACCATATGATCATCTCCATAGATGCGGAAAAAGCATTCGACAAAGTACAGCATCCCTTTATGTTCAAAACTCTAGAAAAACTAGGGATAACAGGAACATACCTCAATATTGTAAAAGCAATCTATGCTAAGCCTCAGGCTAGCATCATTCTGAATGGAGAAAAATTGAAGGCATTCCCTCTAAAATCTGGAACAAGACAGGGATGCCCTCTCTCTCCACTTCTGTTCAACATACTTCTCGAAACACTGGCCAGAGCAATTAGACAGACGAAAGAAATTAAAGGCATAAAAATAGGAAAAGAAGAACTTAAATTATCACTATTTGCAGATGACATGATTCTATACCTAGCAGACCCAAAAGGGTCTACAAAGAAACTATTAGAGCTAATAAATGAATTCAGCAAAGTGGCAGGATATAAAATCAACACGCATAAATCAAAGGCATTCCTGTATATCAGCGACAAATCCTCTGAAATGGAAATGAGGACAACCACTCCATTCACAATATCTTCAAAAAAAATAAAATACTTGGGAATCAACCTAACAAAAGAGGTGAAAGACTTATACAATGAAAACTACAGAACCCTAAAGAGAGAAATAGAAGAAGATCTTAGAAGATGGAAAAATATACCCTGTTCAAGGATAGGCAGAATTAACATCATCAAAATGGCGATATTACCAAAAGTTCTCTATAGGTTTAATGCAATGCCAATCAAAATCCCAACGGCATTTCTTGTAGAAATAGAGAAAGCAATCATGAAATTCATATGGAAAAATAAAAGACCCAGAATAGCAAAAACAATGCTAAGCAGGAAGTGTGAATCAGGTGGTATAGTGATACCAGACTTCAAACTATACTACAGAGCAATAGTAACAAAAACAGCATGGTACTGGTACCAAAACAGGCGGGTGGACCAATGGTACAGAATAGAGGACACAGAAACCAATCCACAAAACTACAACTATCTTATATTTGATAAAGGGGCTAAAAGCACGCAATGGAGGAAGGATAGCATCTTCAACAAATGGTGCTGGGAAAACTGGAAATCCATATGCAACAAAATGAAACTGAATCCCTTTCTCTCGCCATGCACAAAAGTGAATTCAAAATGGATCAAGGAGCTTGATATCAAATCAGAGACACGCTGTCTGATAGAAGAAAAAGTTGGCTATGATCTACATACTGTGGGGTCGGGCTCCTAATTCCTTAATAGGACACCCATAGCACAAAAGTTAATAACTAGAATCAACAAATGGGACTTACTCAAACTAAAAAGTTTTTTCTCAGCAAAAGAAACAATAAGAGAGGTAAATAGAGAGCCTACATCCTGGGAACAAATCTTTACTCCTCACACTTCAGATAGAGCCCTAATATCCAGAGTATACAAAGAACTAAAAAAATTAGACAATAAAATAACAAACAACCCAATCAACAAACGGGCCAAGGATCTGAATAGACACTTCTCAGAGGAGGACATACAATCAATCAACAAGTACATGAAAAAATGCTCACCATCTCTAGCAGTCAGAGAAATGCAAATCAAAACCACCCTAAGATACCATCTCACTCCAGTAAGATTGGCAGCCATTATGAAGTCAAACAACAACAAGTGCTGGCGAGGATGTGGGGAAAAGGGTACACTTGTACATTGCTGGTGGGACTGCAAATTGGTGCAGCCAATTTGGAAAGCAGTATGGAGATTTCTTGGAAAGCTGGGAATGGAGCCACCATTTGACCCAGCTATTCCCCTTCTCGGTCTATTCCCTAAAGACCTAAAAAGAGCATGCTACAGGGACACTGCTACATCGATGTTCATAGCAGCACAATTCACAATAGCAAAACTGTGGAACCAACCTAGATGCCCTTCAATAGACGAATGGATAAAAAAAAAATGTGGCATTTATACACAATGGAGTATTACTCTGCATTAAAAAATGACAAAATCATAGAATTTGCAAGGAAATGGATGGCATTAGAGCAGATTATGCTAAGTGAAGCTAGCCAATCCCTAAAAAACAAATGCCAAATGTCTTCTTTGATATAAGGAGAGTAACTAAGAACAGAGTAGGGTCAAAGAGCATGAGAAGAAGATTAACATTAAACAGGGATGAGAGGTGGGAGGGAAAGGGAGAGAGAAGGGAAATTGCATGGAAATGGAAGGAGACCCTCAGGGTTATACAAAAGTACATACAAGAGGAAGTGAGGGGAAAGGGAAAAATAATACAAGGGGGACAAATGAATGACAGTAGAGGGGGCAGAGAGAGAAGAGGGGAGGGGAGGGGAGGGGAGGGGGGATAGTAGAGGATAGGAAAGGCAGCAGAACACAACAGACACTAGTATGGCAATATGTAAATCAATGGATGTGTAACTGATGTGATTCTGCAATCTGTATATGGGGTAAAAATGGGAGCTCATAACCCACTTGAATCAAAGGGTGAAATATGATATTATCAAGAACTATGTAATGTTTTGAACAACCAACAATAAAAAAATTAAAAAAAAAATAATCCTCATAGTATGTATCTAAAAAGCAAGATCAGAAAAAAGCAACATTCTCACCTGAGAATATCCTGTCCCTCAGCAGTGATTCCCATTTCCTCATGGATTTTATTATTGCTATTATTCTACACTTAGGGAATTTAGGAAGTAAATAAAAATTTATGATTTAAACCTCAAAAAAAAAAAAAAAAGAATACAAGTAACAATAAATGTTGGAAAGGATGCAGTGAAAGGTTCACTCATACATTGCTGTTGGGACTTCAAATTGGTGCGAACACTATGGAAAGCAGTAGGAGATTCCTTAGAAAACTTGGAATGGAATCATCATTTGACCCAGTTATTCTACCCCTCGGCTAATAACCCAAAGACTTAAAGTCAGCATACTATGGTGACATAGCCACATCAATGTTTATAGAAGCTCAATTCACAACAGCCAAGATAAGGAACCAACCTAGGTGCCCTCCAGCAGATGAATAGTAAAGAAAATATGGTTTATATACATGATGGAATATTACTAAGCCATAAATTAAATTGTGGTATTTGCTGATAAATGGATATAACTGGAGACTATCATGCTATGTGAAATAAGTCAGTCCAAAAAAAAATGGTGGAATGTTTTCTTTGATATATGAATGCTAAGACACAATAAGGGGGTTGGTAGAATAGAAGTTCATTGGATCAGACAAAGGAGAATGAAGGCTAGGGAAAGGGGATGGGAATAGGAAAGATAGTAGAATGAATTGGACATAACTTCCCTATGTTCATATATGAATACAGAACCGGTGAAACTCCACATCATGTACAACCAAAAGAATGGGATCCTAATTAGAGTAAGTTATACTCCGTGTATGTATAATATGTCAAAATACATTCTACTGTCATAAATATCTAAAAAGAATAATAAAAATCAAAAGGGTCCTCTTGGAGAGCTTCAGATACAGGGTATTTCATAATCTCCCTTTTTCCATGTGTCTCATACAGGTGAAAAAATTTAGACATCTCTGGTGGGTAGGACACAGACTGTGATAATTTTCTGTGCTTGAACCTCAGTTTGTAATCTGGCCAACTGTGATTTCTTTTCTTCCAGAGATCCCTCCCTTCCCCCCTCCCCCATCCTTAGTACTGTAGTGAATGACCTGCTTTTTTCTCTGATGCACTTTTTCGATCTAGAATTATTCCTTAGCTTTCAAATCTCTATAGCATGTAAATCACCTAGGTTGATTCTGAAAAGAGGATTTGCTTTAAAAAAATGCTAGTGTTCAAAATTATTCTTCTGTGTCCATTTTCTGTCTTTAAAGGCACATCATGCAGATTACAGAGCCCATTTTCAGAAATCCTAATTGAGTAGAAAGAGTGGTAGAGACGGAAATCTGTTTTCCACAGCATCCAAGGTAATTTATTCAAATGGTCTCTGGAAACACTTTAAGAAACACTCGTGGTGGAACAGCATCTACACTTACTTGTGAGGAAGGGCTGAAACTTCTGTCAGTCTTAATGGATGCTATGGGATGGCTGGTTCTCATCATGCGGAGGATGGGTCTCTGATACTCTGTTCCTGCAGTTACCATACTGTAGGCTGGGGGGACCACAGTAGTTTGTTTCTGCAGCAGCTGTAAGATGGTCTGCATATCAGCAGTCATTTGGGATTCAAGTCTGTAGACCAGACAGAAAAAGGAGAAAGAGTCCTAAAATAGTCCAGAATTGCAAAAGCATCTGAGCAAACTTCAGCACTTACCAACCAAGACGACATGCCTGCTTTAAACAAGAAGAACAGGAGAGGGAGCACAGGGATGCTTTCTTAGCTGATAATCTGTGTCTCACTAATGATTCCAACAAAGACCATTACTTTCCTGCTCATTTTAAGAGAATCAATAGAAATACAAATGAAAAGACTGTATTTTTACTAATGTTTATTGATTTCAAAGTGTAAAACATGCTGAGAATCTCTTTTTAAATAGTAATTATCTTTGCTTTTTATCAGGCTTTACTCAATTTTTTTGTGAATACTTTGTTTATTCTTTAAAAGAGAGACTAGCAGCACATTTCTTTCACAGTTACAAAAATCTCAAGAAAATTTCTTAAGTGTTTCAAATTTATATTATTGTTAATTAATCTTGCCCTTCTATTCATAGCAAGTATTGTATATTACTCATTGTATTCTTTCTTTGATGTTAAATGCTAAATTCCTTTTCCCATCTACAGGGAATTGATATTTAAGAAGCAAAAGAAATGTAAAAATTCACTTGCTTCTATGTCCCTTCAGGCTTGAGCAACAGCCAGTATGACCATTGATTTCTAGAAAGCTCATGAGTAGCTCACTGGCTTATTAATTTCATTCTAATTTTAAATTAAAATTTAAAGGAATACGGCAAATACAATCAGTCTGATTCCCCTCTGCTGTGTGGATTAACACCATTGAAGACATAAAAAAAAATTCATGGGCATAAAAACAGAAAATTTGGACCATACGCCTCTATAGAAAGTTCTTCTAGCTATTTTATTTTTGCTTACTGTTTTACCTATGAATTCAAAAAGCAATGAAAAGGTAATGCTATAGAGTAAATTAGTCTGTGATTTGAAAGAAAGCAACAAAACCTAGAAAAATGAGAAAAGATCAGTATTTTCTTTTTACTTTTTAATATTAACACTCCAGATCTTCCTGCTGGGAATCATAATTATGTATTCTTAAAGGTTTTCTATAGTTGATAAAATATAACCAGATAACTCAGTGTCTTCTAAGCCAATAGCTTTAAACTACACCTGATTATGCCTTGCAAGTACCAAGGCCACACACCAAAAAGGAAGGTTGAATTTTCAACTGGTTCATCTACTTGTTACCTGCAAGTCTGATCTAATTTTTTATGGTACCAACTAAACATTTTTATTGTTATGAATCAATTTTTTCTTTTCATTCTTCGAGGTCCAGCTCAAATTTTATCTGTACCTCCAAATCTTACCATATTTAACTAATTCAGAGTTACCTTTTCTCTTCTCTGAGCCCCTGAAGAAAATTTTACAAACTTCATCAGAGCTATTTCTGTACAAATTTGTCTCAGTTTTAAAAAAATTAATAGTTAAAGTGGCTTTTTTTACATGATATTTATTATCATTACCATTATTATCAAGATAGGCCATTGAATATAAAAGGATTTGGGAATACTGAGGTTAAAAATTTCATCCACATGTGGGATTCAAGACACTAGGTAGTAATGGGGCTGGGGATGTGGCTCAAGCGGTAGCACACTCGCCTGGCATGCGTGCGGCCCAGGTTTGATCCTCAGTCAGCACCACATACAAACAAAGATGTTGTGTCCGCCAAAAACTAAAAAATAAATATTAAAAAAAAAAGACACTAGGTAGTGAACAAAAATTAATTTCATTCTAATTTTAAATTAAAATTTAAAGGAAAATGGCAAATGCAATCAGTCTGATTCCCCTCTGCTGAGTGTGTTAACACTATTGAGTCTATAAAAATCTTTTGAGTTTTTGAGTCCTATAAAAAATCTTTGTTAAACATTAGCAGTCTCTAAGAAACAGGATTTTTTCATCATGGATTTTATCTATTTGAATCATGTCTATGAGAGAAGAATCTATCAGAGGTAATGCTTCAGCATTCACATGCTCAGCAACCTGTGGCACTGAGAGGGCCTCATACACACAAGAACAACATGTGCAGTTGAAGTGGATCTTGCCAGGTGAGACCTGAGACCTTTGGTATTGAAACAATTTAATAAGAGTGTAGACCATTCTATACACATGACTTGGTTGTCTATTCTAGGAATACTTTGCCTGGGAAAAATAAGGCTACACCAGTAAATAACTTCACTAGTTCAGGAATTTTCAACAAATAAACTCGTTGGAGAGAACTGTTTGCTCATCAGGAGCCTCTTGTACATCCAAACTTAATTCATCAGACTTGCTTCAAGATTCTCACCCCCCCTGAGCCTGTCACTCTGGATGGCTGATGTCATGAATTTGCCCAATTTTAATAAGTTGGGACATAACTTTCTGATGTACAGAACCAGTGAAACCTTGACAAGCCCAAACACAAAGTCCTGTAAATATCCTACTTCTTACCACTGAGCCTTGGTCTTGTGAATGGTCTCCTGTCTGCACTGATTTTGAATACTTAGTTTTGTCTTATTAATTGGTTACCTGAAATTTGGAGTAGTTCGACAAAGGGGAGGTGTAGTAAAAAGTTTCTTTACTATACATAGAATTGTATTTTTATGTTTTATGACTAGAGTCTATTGGCTTACTTACAATGGACTTTTTTATTGAAACCTGATAATGTGTTTTATTCAGGAGGAATTACAGAGAATTAGACAATAATTCAGTTTGTTCTTAGTCTTTAAAACAGAAAATAACCTAGTTTTGGAATTTTATTTTTTGTCAAGATAGCCATAAAGTTGTAGAAAATGAATATTTTCATATACTCATTCAAAGACCAACTTTTTACTAGGAATTGTAATAGGTAGAAAGTCAGGTGAGAACATGAAGGAGAATAAATATGGAATCTGATCTCTCAGTGCTGTCAGGAGCTGATTGCTTAGAGAGGAAAAATGAAGGAAGTGCATAAATAACTAACACTAGATGAAGCAGGTGCTCAATGTCATACTAGAGGCATAGAGACAAATTGCTCTGGATGTTCTGCAGTGGAAGGAGTCATTACTCAATTTTTACATTTTCTAATTCTCCTTTCTCAAAGTGTCTCCCTAAACCAGAAACATTGGACATCCCTGGGAGCTTGTTAGAATGTGGTGTCTGCCAGCTCTAGACTCATCAATCCACTTAGAAACTGCATTTTAACAAGACGCCCAGGTGATACCAATGCATATTAAAGTTTGAGAAGTACTGCTGAAGAATCAAGTCTTAATAATCTATCTAATCATGTCTATATCTAGGCTACATATGTATATATGCTTATATATACATATAAAAACACATACATATGTACATATAAGTTAACCTATGTAAACCTTTAACCCTACATATAGTTTATCCTTAAAGAAGAAAAGAGGCAGTAGCAAGGACTGGTTCAAAATCGACCATTTATGTTTGTTTTTATTGCATTGTGGCTTGAATATTGTGTTTGGATGAGATGGTGGTGTAAGAACTCAGTTTTACATTTGAACAAATGCCAAAGTCAAATAGGGTATACTCAACTCTAGAACGTGTTCCAAGATTCTACCTCTGCAAAGCAGAGCCTAAGTTAAGCTACCCTCTTCAAATTTGTTTCCCTTACATTTGTCTTACAGAACAAAGTGGAAGAAAAAAGTTTGGAGATGTCAGTGAACTAAAAATGCAACTTTTTAAACTTTAAAATAAGCTAAACTGATTTAGGAAATAAAATGTTTGTAAAAGTATTAAAGAGAGAAAAAAAACTAGAAGTAGTAATGGTGATAACAATTTAAAACATGTTCAGAAAGCACATACATATGCTGGGAATATGTTAAAAGATATTTAATTCTGTTATGACTGTGGAAAATTTATACAATAATAATATACTAGCTGGATGTGGTGGTGCACACCTGTAATCCCAGTAACTTGGGAAGCTAAGGAAGGAGATTCACAAGTTTAAGGCCACCATCAGCAGTTTAGTGAGACCTTAAGTGACAGTGAGAATCTGTCTCAAAATTGAAAAAGAAAACTGAGATGTAATTCAGTTGTAAAGCACCCCTGGGTTTAATTCCCAGTGTCTGTGTGTGTGTGTGTATCAAGTTTTTCACACACACACACACACACACACACACACACACACTACAACAAGGAGTCACTGAAATCTCAATTTTAGTCCTAAAGGAAGGTTCAAGCCCAGAAATATATGTGAAGTAAGAGAATACACTCAAATGAACACTAGTAATAGAGCTGAAGTTCACTGATGATCAAATTTTATCTAGCTTTTTTTTTTAATCTATGCTACCTTTGGTATAGCAGGTATAGTCTCTATATATGGTCAGCCCTCTGTGTCTTTATGTTCTGCATTAGAAAATCAATTGAGCACATATTAAATATATTTGAAAAGAAATTGCATTTTTTATTGGACACAACAAGACTTTTTTCTTGCCATTATTCACTAAACAATATACTATACCAATTATTTACATGGTATTTACTTTTTCTTAGATACTATAAGTAATCTGGAGATAATTTAAAGTATATGGGATGATGTGTACAGGTTATATGCAGATACTATGCTATTTGACACAAGGGATTGAGCATCAAGGGATTCTGGTACCCAAACGAGGTCCTGGAACCAATCCCCATTGCATACTAACAGATGATCATGAATTAATTCTGTCCATACAAAAGCACTGCAAGTAGGTTTGAGTAAAAATAAGAAATTGAGAGTAGGAAAGTTTAAATTACTACCCAGTCATTCTGTAAATAGTTAAATAACCTAGTTAAGAATTTTACCTAGGTTAACTAATTTGTACTGTGTTGGCATTGTGCCAAAGAAATCACTGCTGCCCCTGTCATTCACCATTTACTCACGTTTTTAACCACCACCACCACTACCACCAACATAAATAAAATGCATAGAAAATATTAATCATAGATAGTAAGTAAAGCCATAGTTTATGTAGTATAGGCAAAACTCAGAATGCTAACTACAGATGGGTAAACAAGGAGCTTGTTAGACACGGGCAGAATCACAAGATATATTAAATGTACACATTCGTGCTACTACTCAGCAAGGTATAACAAAGAAAAAATAGAAATGGGATGTACTCAACAAGAGATGGAAAGAATAAATTTTTCTCATGTTGCCTCGGGGAAGACAACTATCCCACACACATTTAACCATCTGTTAGGGTCACCCAGTGTTTCATTCTGGCTCTCCATGTGGTCTACCTACAAAAGGCCAGTAAAACACATGGCTGTTGTACAGGCTAATTAAAGGACCACAGCAGTGATCAGGTGTGTCAGGCTTTGCATTTCTATTATAGAAACAATGCATTACATCAGCACAAGAGATTTGGGTTTCTGTCTCTGGAGAAATGTCAATTCTGGTCCTTGTACTATGGACATTGAGAGCTGATGTGGCAGATTTAAGAACACTGTCTAAATCAGGATTCAGGTAGTGTGGTTATTTTTTTTTAATATTGTTTTTTGTTATTCATGGACACAGTATCTTTGTTTATTCATTTTTATGTGGTGCTGAGAATCAAACCAAGTGCCCCACACATGCCAGGCAAGCACTCTGCCACTGAGTCACAACTCCAGCCCTAGTGTGGTTATTTTACCAGGTTTGCACTTACTGAAAATGAATCAATTACTCCATCTAGTTCTTAAATCCTGTGATTTGAGCATTTTATCTTAGTCCATGCAGTTTTGGCTATGGCTACTGAGAGAACTTGCCATCTGGTCTATTTGAAAGCTACCATTGGGTCAAGGTAAATTCCCAAATGAAACACAAAGCAGCTACTGAGTCATACTCAAGTCATATCTGTTTTCTGACTCTTTTTAACCAATTTAATTTTAAAAACCCACCCAGACTTCTATGAAATAGTTACCTCCTGCCTAAAACCAAAATTTATTCTACATATTAATCAGTCTAGATCAAAGATGAAGGAACATGGAAAGGTTCTGTCTTTAATTTGTGGGATTTTTAATTTATTCACAATTTTTTTTGACAAATTGACCAAAAACTGTATGTTTAAATCACTATTTCAGTATTTTAAAAATGCCACAAAACATGGATAAATTACCAGAAACAACTATAAAGTATAAAAGCAGGATTAAAAGCATAAAGGTGTTAGTTAACAAATTAAATATGAATTACTCTGAGGGGAGGTAGCCAGTGATGGTGATATACTTAATTTTAAGATAGAGAAAGAAAAAATAGGACATATGTTGCTTAAGATATGAAGTGCAAATAAATGTTCCTTGCAACACAAATTGATAATTCTGTCAGTTTCTAGTGTTATTTTAAATAAGTATGTGTGGAAAATATGGGATTGCAGTAAGAGGAATTTGCTAGAAGCAAAGCTAGACACGTCTAATGGTTTGCATCATACTCTCCTTTTGCCCCACCATTTCTGATACCTGTTAAGTTGCTCTTGAAGCAAATCTAATCTTTGCTCTACTTCTCCATAGGTGAGGTCACTTTCAGTTTCTGAGATCCCCCAGGCAGCTCGCTGAAGTGCTGAGGGACTACACTCTTCAGGCTGAGCCCTGGCATTGTCTCTTTCCCAGCTTTGTGTGTCAGTGATATCTGTGGAAGAGAGTGAGTTAGACATCGGCTTTCTTTGGTACTCCTTTGCCTCATAAACATAGACACTAACAAGACAAGCTGTAAAGGATCTTAGGATATAACCCAGGAGACATAGAACCAAAGTGGTTCATGGACAAAATCAGGGGCCATGACCAATTGGTGGTAGGTTCCTTCTCTCACTCTGCCTTCCTTACCTACCACATGCATTTTCATAGCATTAAAATTTTATAGAAGGTCAGGAGTCTTGGTTATGATTTTGTCTTCTTTCTATTTGTGCTAAAAGAAGGTATGGATGGCTGAACATAACTGATTAGAGCGCAATGTTTTTGTGCTTTTGAATTTGAGAGGAAATAACATATTTTGTTTATAATGTTTTACTTAACATTTGAGATATTTTGGGCTCTTTCTCACAGAATAGTAAGCATTCTTTATGGTCCAGGAGAAAACTCTTGAGGGAAGTGCTGGTCTTCAAGGGTATGTTCTTAGGCAGCCCAATTCAAGGAGTCATAAACTATTAAAGAGGAGAAGAGTTTTAAAGTCTTCCCATCTTGTTTCTTTGCTTCTTTGAAGCTTCTTCTGCACTGTATTTTAATATCATCACATTGTTCGCCAATGTTTTTTTTTTTTTGTGTGTGTGTGTGTGTGGTTCTTTTGTTATGTATATTTTTCTTAATGTACTTTAAACAAACAGCTTATCTGCTCAAGTCCCCCTTTCCAATGTTTTGGGTGTCTTTTATGTGCCAGACACTTTGCTAAATGTGGAGGACTTGAAGAGGAAGGAGACAAAGCCCCTGAACTTGAAAAATTCAGTCTAGCAACTTTGTGATCATTTTTCATCCAGAGATTTATTTTTGAACCTCTTTTAATTTACTCTTTCTCCTAAGATCTGTATTTTCAAACTATCAATATTTGGGGGAAAAAATGTATCCTTTCTTTGTTACTTACATACTTTTGATGGTTTTGTTATGCTCTCTTACCCTCTATAAAAATGATTGAAGGGTTGAAAAATAAAACCCATGAAAAGATAAGAATAAAGTTGGGAGCTTATTTAAGAGATAAAGAAAAATAATATATATATATATATATTTCCTTTTGGGAAGACTGATGGAAGGGAAGGATTATGTCAAGCTGGTATTCCCTTTCACATGGAAATAGATTTGAATTAGAGAAAGTGATTTGGTTTTGATATAAAGACTTAAAATCTTGGCAAATTCCTATGATTAGAAATTGAGAAAAATTACATAGTTATGGATTTATACTCTTAGTGATTTAAAAATTTCAATAGAAAGTAACTGAATTGGTCAGAATTAGCTATGATTCTAGAAATAGGGAACAGAACTGTAAGACTTCTTTCCCCATAGATTCTCTAAAAGTACAGTCAGAGAGCTCAAGTGCAAGCCTTTCAATAAGTAGCAGACAAAAGAACAACAAAGTTCTATATTCTTTCTCTATGGACTTCCCCCCACTATCTTTTATCATTGAATACACAGAAATTTTTCTAATGAGGTGCCTATAATTTCAGTCTCAGGAGAGGAAGCTTTTACAAAGCATTTAAGCATATCCAAATATAGCATGAGAAAAATATAAGACCAGGTTCCTTGCTGTGTGGAAACGGGTAATAGATCTCACAGAACTTACAAGAAACTCTAGAAAAGCTCCTGATTATGGCTTCCTTACTGATTCTTGTGTTTAGCTTTGGTTTAGAGAGTGACAGCTTATTTTTTCTTTTGATATTTTACCAAACATGACAAAATGTAACTTAACATAGAAAAATGATATTGCTGGAGTTTTAAGTAATTTATCAGCAGATTTTTACTGAGAAGTATGACTTGTTATCACAGAAATGTGAACCAATTTAAGATGCAAAATGATAATATAACAGTAAACCAGGTTTCAACTTTGGGCTAGCAATGCCAAGTAAGCATCAGAACACATACAAATGTTTTGGTGCTGCCAACGCTTGTGCCTGTCTAGTTCTGATAGCCAGTTCATGTATGAACATTTCTTCAGAGAAGACAAGAACTGATAGGATTAAAATTACATATTTATGTTCATAAGTTTAGTGCCAAAAAAGCATACAGTATTTCTGCATATGCTTAACAGCTCTCTCCTTTTCAAATCCTATGTAATAAATTGATTTTTAAATGACAAGGGTGAATCACATGCAATAAATTATGGAGGATAATATTTTTACTGCAGTGTTCAAGAAGAAAAAAGATTATTCTAGCAGAAATGAATAAATATACTGTGAGACAGAAGCTTCCTTGATTATAATTTATTCTTTTATTAAAATCTAGAGATATGTGATTAGCTTGTTTTTAACAGGAATATAAAAAATGAGGAGTTCAAAGGGGAAATCCTGGCTAGTGGTCTTAATCAAATGAACATCCTTGTAGACACTTTCTAAATATAGCATAGAAAAGAATCTGCACTTGGTTGCCTTGGCAAATGTTGCTATAGTTGCAAGATACATTTCTTCAAATGGATGAGCAGAAAGTAAACTAACTTTGCTCTGGTACACAATTTTCCTAGAGTCAACTTTTGACCTCAATGTAAGTAGAATCAGAGTCCACTTAATCTTTTTTTTTTCTTCCTTTTTCCTTTTTTAGTTTTGCTTTAATGTGTTCTGAATCTCTCTTCTGTTGGATTTAATATGACAAATCCCAGGAATACCAGGGAGTGAAATTTCCTATTGATGTTGAAACTAAACTTTGTGGGGATTTTAGTAGTTCAAACTGTGGCAATCACAGCTACATCTTACATATTATTAAAGTTTTGAACATTACACAGGATTTTACCTTAAAAGTCAATAGGGAATAAAATCTGCAGAGATCAAGTTTTTAAATTCTCTATTGGTTAATCCTATTAATTAGTCATGTTAACAATCACCCTGATTGAAGTTATATAGCATCAATTACAGTTACTTAATTGACATGCATATTTAGCTTGGCATTTGCAAGATAATTAGTTATTGCCTGCATGGGTACTACATTGAACACTTTTTAAAAATTAACAACTTGGAGATATTAAAATTATTTTGTTTTTTTTAGAATACTACTGTTCTTATTGGGCATTTGGAATAGCTAGTTAAAGATTGGAATAATTAGCATTATATTAGGTGAAGGGCATTAGAATTCATTGTCAGGGAGAATCATTATAATGTCAAATAAAATTCCCCAAATATTTCTTTAAAGACTTGTCATATAGAAGTCTAAAATTCAAGAAGAAAACAAAACACTTTTTTTTTTTCAGCAGGGCCACATTATGCTGACTTTTGTTATAGTAGAGATTGTTCAACAAGCTCTTCAGAACTTTTGACTTCCATGATACAACCTGTTTCTATTCTTAGTACTTCCCAGAATCCATTTTCATAAATAACTAAAACGGGACATTTGGTAATCACATCTAATATTCCATTCTTCCACTGTGATAAATGAGGTACTATTTTCATTCACTTCATCAAGAATTTTGATTGTCCAGAGGACATTTGCATATATTCTTAGCTTATTTCCATGTGGGATCCTGGTAAAAGCTGATTTGACATGATATGGAAAGTAACTCTGGAAAAATATAAAACCTGAACATCCTAGATTTAATAAAATCTTTGTTGTCAAATATAATGCTTTGGAATAATGGTGTGATCGTAGGAAGTATTTACTTACTCTGTGGTATAATTTTATTATCTTGCCAGGTCAAAACATCTTATTTCTTCCTTCATTTTTGTTATATTATTTTGATTTTTTTCTTATGCTATCTTAATATTTACATTTTATACATCCAGATACATATTAAATAGTAAAACCAGTGAGAAAATACCAAATAGGTTGGGGATTTTATTTCAGATAAAGTCATTTACAGTTTAATTTGGATAATAATCATAACTAATGAGTTGGTTGGATATTATTATTACTATGTTTTAAAAATGTGAACTGTGTATTAGTGGATTTGTCAAATCACGTATCTCAAGTCATAAAGGGAGCAAGTGATAGATTTGGTTTTAGAATCCAAGAAGTTGGACTCACAACTGTTATGGGTACCACTTAATAGCTAGATCTATAGATCTAGCTCCTATTATGCTAAATTAATTGTTCTTCCATGTGGTTTCAAGGTTTCCTCAGTTTCTCATCCTTCAGAATGAAATTTGCATATATTAAACATTATTGCTCATCTCTTGTGTATTTTCTTCAACAAAACACATATATTTCTGTATTCCTTTTAGTAGGGATATTAAACAAAGAAGTCTTATCAAAAATATACTCTATTTCAAGCCAGGCATGATGGCACATTCCTGTAATCCCAGTAACTCAGGAGGTTGAGGCAGGAGGATTGCAAGTTCAAAGACAGCCTGGGCAGTTTAGTGAGGCCCTAAGCTATTTAGTAAGATCCTGTCTCAAAATAAAAAATAAAAAGGACTGAGGACATAGTTCAGTGGTAAGGTACCTGGCTCCATCCCCAGTACAAAAAATGGAAAACAGAATATTTCGGGAGAGTTCCTTTTGTTTTGTCATAATTCACAGTAGGATGTTGTATTGTAATATGATTGCTTTGACCTTTGAAGTTATAAAACTATAGGTTTGGGGGTAAGAAATGGGTACAGAAGACATATATAAAGAACTAACCAGTAAAATCTCTTAAAATAGTCATGGATGCTCTCTCCACATAGGAATCAATTGCATCAATAGGATTTCAGAAATCTTTCTACCTATACTTAAGCCTGGTTGGCCACAAATACCTCTCATGCTGACATTGTTTGGAAACATTTGCCACTAATTCCAGAATTATGCAAACACTACATTGCAGATGATCTAAAATCTCAACTCTTTACAGACATGAATTGAAAAAGATTAGATTAACATGTGTTGGTACAGTTCTTAATTTGTGAAAAGTCATTATAGTCTGTTTAGCCCTGAGGAGAGACAACCTGATTCCTGATTCTGGATTACCTTTGCAAGAGTGGCTTTTCTTATTGACATGAATTCTTCCTGAGGTGGGCATTGCTTCTTTGAAATGGAGCCCAGCTGCTTTCCCTGTTCTTGGAGTAGAATCTACTATTCCTGAGAAGAGCGGCTTGTGTTCATCATCAATGGAGGAGATGAAAGATGATGATCTACTTTTTTTCTCTTCAAAGTGTTTTTTGGAACTCTGATAATGTCTTATGGTATCTGCAGAGTCTTCAGGATCATTTGTGCTGCTTTCTTTGCCAAAATCTACAGAAGAAAATTATTTTATAGCAGATAATCAAATGTAAGACCCTACGCATGCTACATATACTAACTAGCTACACACAAACTGCCCTTTTTTTTTTATTATAAATGTGCCGCAGTCTGGCTGGGCACAAAATAACCGAGCCACCACAAAAGCCTTGTAGATTCAAACAGCAACTCTTTATTCCCGAACTCTCACCCGCACTCTACACGCATGTTCTGGGGAAATACTCTCCCTTCCCCCGGGCTCTGCGTACCAATCCTCTCAGAACCCCTTGAGAACTCAATGGGAACTCAAGGATCGGGCGCCTGAGGCAGCCCGATACGCCCTATTCCCAGCAGGATCCACCCTAAACCCGGAGCCACCCTAATCCAGCAGGATCCATCCTAAACCTGGAGCCACCCTAATCCCTGAGCAGGGTCACCTTTCAATTAAAAATGCCATGTCATTCCTACTTGGCTATGGCTCTCAGCATAAATGTAATTGCTTTGGAGACTTTTTTTAAATAGAGGACTATTAGACTGTCTTAATGAGATAAATTATTCATTTCAAAATTAAAAGAAAATTTGCAACAGGAAAGTTTAAGTCTCAGAGAAATCTATAGGATAACTTACAAACTTATTTATACATGCTCAACTGTCATTTGTATTCTTAGAATCTGGTGCACTATCTCTTTAGGGAAATGAAAAAGACAAAGGAAAAATATGTCCCAATTCTAAAATATCGCCATTATGCAGCTTGTTATTTGTTTTTAACCTCCATACTTTATCATCTATGGCAGTCACTCACATATTGCAAAGGTCAAAATTGGAAGCCTCCTTGTACTAAAAGCTTGCAGGATGAATTTCAACCTTAGTTCAATGCATGTAATGGCCCTAACATTCCAGAAAGTTTGGTCATGTAGTATAATGCAAAGAATATAATGCTTAAATGTAGTAATTGAGGTAAGTTTTACCTAATTACATTAAAGTTTCTAGTGCTTATTGGCTATTTTATACTGAAATGTCAGGATAATTTCAGCCCCTGAAGGTTGTGTTAGAATATATTTCAGCAGAAAAAAAAAAACTCAGAGACAAATCTTAGGACTTGTTTCTATTAGTGTCCTGGGGAGACAGTATAATTCTCCATCTGGCTTCTGCTAATAACTAACCAACAAAACTCCAAGAGGTCTATTATTTTCTAGAGAAATGGTGAAGACAGTGTCCCCATCTACTCTGTGCCTGGGTGTGCTTACTTTGTTATTTATAGAAGGCCAGATGAATTGATTTAAGGCCACTTCAGAGAAAAATCCAACTGCTTTTTAAAATTCCCATATGGCATAGAAATTAAACAAAGTTTTTTTTCTTTATTTTTTAAATCATAATTTAAAATACAAGAAGCCAGAAAGCAGCCCAAGGAAAAAATGAATAGAGGTTAAAAATAACCTTGAAATGAAATTGTTATTAATGAGTTTATGTTCAGTCAATTAAAGTGTAATCTATAAAATGCAGATTGCTTAATTTATTTTAAGATTTCACACTTTCTCCCTAATCCCAACATTGTCAAGAAAACCACACTTTCCAGTCCCAAGTACAGCAGAAGTCATCATTGATTACTCCACATTACTTATATGTCTCCACTCAACCACTGATCTAATTGGCTATATATGTTCCAATCAGCTATTCTTAGAGACATGTTTCTCCATTGTCTCTGACACAGCTCTAATTAAAAAGTCAATCTTGTCCTCTTCCTCCCCATTTTCTTTATCTTAAACATCTTCCTTCCTCCAAAGCTCTCAGAAAATTTGGTCAACATTCTCCACTTCTTGAACACATCATTTCATTTCTCAAAAGATAATAGCTACCAATTTCATGTTAGGAGATTTAAAAAAAAAAGGGTAGGAAAAGCTTCACATATCATCATATCAAATCAGTAAATTTCAGGGATTTTCCTCCAAGTAAACCATATTGTAGTTCATGGCTTAAATACCAGTGGGATTCAAACCAACCTGGATTTTTCATCTTCTTTCCCAGCAGAATCAAATATAAACTGAATTAACCATTAATTCATATACCTACAACCTAGGAAGGTATAGATAATGCTAATATAGATATTTGCATTGAATATACACCACAAATTAATAATCAATTTGTCTCTTTGGCTTAAGAGGTTTGGGGAATCCATACAATTTCAAATCCTTACACATGTTTACCTACTTCATGGGTTCCGGTTTTAGTCTATCTACTTACACTTGATTTTGGATTTTCAGGGACAAAATTCATTAGTTAATATATATTTTTAGATTTAGCTATAATACTTATTTCAATTAATGACAAATATTCACAAAATGTATAGAATGGGAAATTACTAATATTTAGTTCTCTTTGGTAGGATGGAGTGGATTACTCCATATGCATAGGACATAAGTCCTCCAGCAAAAATTCCAGATAAAAGCAGAATCCTTAAAAAGGAAGAAAAAAGTGAGTATTTTTGAATTTTTCTAGTTTTGTATGGAGAAAAACCCCACATTTATTTCTATGATTTACTGGCCTATCATCTAGGTCATGTGAACTATGGCTTTGATGCAACTCCACTGAAACAACATTTTTATAATTCATACTAGATAAATTAAGGTTTCATTTTCTGTCATATAAAGTGAAAGTTAAAGTGACAATCTATTTGTGGATTAAAAATGGAAACTGCTTGGGCTTAGGCTGGATGTTGGCAGATGTACTACATGAAATTGGGCAGCTGAAATGCATTATAATTAGCCTCCAGGTACTTCCAGATTTGATGGGCTGCTCCATGCCTGCTTTTTTCTGCTTAAACTGAATCATTTGATAGACATTAAATAGTATTAGGTACTGTTTTTTCTTAATGCTATTTGTGATCTGTGTAGAAATAGTATTCTGAGAACAGAAATATTAGAGAGTTTTTACATTTTCTCTTTTTCTAGAAGTGAGATTGTGTAATCACTAGAATCCATTATTTTACAAAGAATGTTTTTTGCCTCTTTGTTTAAGCATCAAATTTACTTTCTGATTCAGATTACTGAAAACATTGTTTTTCTTTATTCCTATAGGTTGTTCATACTTCTCTTTCCCTTTTCTTGTCAAACAATTCTAAAACATTCCTAATTTGTTGGTGGGGGTCTCTCTAGCTAGCTTCAGAATGAATTTTAAATGATAGAATAATAGTGTCCTGATGGAGTGGCTGACCCATCCATCCTAGAAAACATATATAAAATTCTTCAATTTCAAAAACAATCTGGGAATTAACATTGGTGATTGCTTCATCTTTTATGGAGTTTCTCTCTCTCTCTAATTAGTTACTATTTTTCTTTGTCAGAACCTACAGGGGGACATAACCTTTCATCCAAGAGACAAATTTTATGTACTTTACTGGCATTTGAGTTTTACGTTTTCCACTGGTGACAATTTTGAGAAAAACTGAGGAATTTCCAGTGAGATGTCTTACAACAAGTTTTCATTAGAAAATTAGAGGCTGAAATATAAGTCATATGAGATCAAGTACCTCCGTGGTGTCAGATATGTTGAAAAGGATCAAACAATATTTTTAAAAAATATATAAATACAAAATTTCATGTTCTTAAGTACTAACAGATGATGCACTTGGGGAGATGTTGGTCAATATATATTGGTACAAAGTTTCAGTTAGGATGAATGAGTTATAGAGATTTATCATCTGATATAGTGACTACAGTTAATGTATGGCATGTTTGAAAATTATTGACAGAAGATCATAAATGTTCTCTCTACACATATAGAAAAGACAAATATGTGAAGCCATATGTGTAACAATTATCTCAATTGCAGTCATCATTTTGAAATGTAGGCAAATGCCAAAATATCCCATTGTACATCATAAATACACACATCATTAATTTTTGTTAATCATACCTTCCTAGACCTGGAAAAAATATGCATGTATATACTATTAAGAGTAATAATAAAAAACTAATCACTGTTTGTTCTTAAAGAAAATTCAGAGTCACCAATTATCATACTAATGTATTTAAGTGATTAGCTTAATAAAATTAGAATTAAAACTCCCCTAATCTATATAAGTAAATTAATCCATATGTATATTTACCCCTTAAGTTCCTTTCATGGAAGTTATAAAAATGTCTTATTTTGGAGAAACACTCAAATTTTATTAGCTTTTGGTTGGTATCATCCAAAAGATACAGAGATACTGAAGATGATGCTAATTGTTATCCTTTGAAATGGGATGTGTTGTGAGTTCAAGTCATTTGCACACTGTTCTCTGGAGCATTGGATTTTAATGAGAAAATGTCAGTCTCTCTTTCCTCCTCTTAGGATATATATCTCCTAAGGTATGTGGAGCCATCCAAGCCTAGTGGAAAGAGGATTATAAACGTGTTTTCACCTTCATTTCCATCTACTTTGTTGCCACAGGCACATCCTTAACACTATTTTTTTGTTTGTTTGTTTATTTACTTATGTTTTAGTTTTTCATTTTTGCCAGTTCTTTACATCAATCAAGACTTACTGTGATAATCTATTAGTAGGAGTGATAAAGTCTTCTAAGCTCAGGAAACTGGTTTCTAAGGTTTCAAAATTAAGAAAGTGAAAAGGTCTCAATAGGAAAGCTAAGCCCAGCATTCTTTAATTTTGCATGCTAATGTCTCTTTTGCTAAGCATACTCGTATTCTCTCTGACTCCATACATGTTTTTGACATTTAATTGAGCTAATTATATGTCCTGTTTTTGAATTTTAGGATTTTGAAAAAAGAATGGGGAAAAGATTAGAGAAGAGATGGTTAGAAAAAGGAAACTCAGTGGAGGTCTGATGAAGAAGGAAGGCCAAAGCATCTGTGCCTTCTGTCCTGAGATTCCCTTAGATAAAACCTTAAATAAAGGTTGTAGGCCTCTTCATGGTGGCCTACATCCTTTAGTTAACACACACACACAAACACAAACACACACACACATATGTGTGTGTGTAATTATATCTATCTATCTATCTATATGTATGTGTGTGTAATTTTATATATATATATATATATATATATATATATATATATATATATATATCTCCAACATCAACAGGGATATTACATCATGATTTTTCACAATGTTAGAGAGTTTTCAACCAGTAAAGCCAGTTAGAGTAGAGTTCCTTCTAAATTTTCTTCTTCCTCTTCTTTTTTACTACTTGGCACCAAAAAATGAAAGATTCAATTCTGCGAAGTGTGTAGAAATATTTATTTTTCCTGCTAAATCATCTAGAAAATGTAATAAAAACTTTAAAGGTAGCCTTCTTAATGTATGTAGACACTGAATTTAGAAGGAATTTCTGTTTGTCTCCGGGTTAACTCTGAAGAATTTTCTCTAGGAAATAGAGACAAATATTTTAAAACAAAATAGAAACAAAGATAAAAACATAGGCAAACTTAGCATGCAGTGGGCACTTAATGACTCTTTGTCAAGTAAATGGGCAATTGATTGGCTCAGGCCTGTTATACTGCTGCCATGACTGGACTATTCTCTGCCGAATGGCTATTGGCACCCTAATCAGCCATTAGTAGCTACTTTTCAATGTGCATTTTTTCTTTGTCCACAGAAAGAATTGAGTGCTACATTCCAAATATTTGGTCATATAAGTCCTATCAATAAAATATGTACACATGCATGAATGCATGAATGTTTACCAATACTTTATACATTTAATATACACACAGACATGAGCCCTATGTATTTATAGTATAGTATAATAATAAATAGCTCCTGTGCCATTATACATGCTATTGTACTAATATTTTCTGTACATTATACTCTATAGACAACACATAAATTTTAAAAAATATATATTTCCATGACACAATGGATCATGTTAGCACAACTCTGAAGACCACTCAAAAAGAGACTAGTTTTCAGAATTTTCCTCAATTACTTTTATTGTGTCCACCAGCCTTAACAATGCCTCTGGTACAGAATAAATCACAGAACCCTCATTTTTATTCTTTACTTTCTGTAACAGTAACATATTACTTCCCCCTTAAGAGCTATGGCAACTCTTCCCTACAATACCCCTAGACATACAGAGAGATCCTGGGTAACTCCCTGCAACAATTTTGAGAAGTGAACTAACTTCTTGAAGACTCCCTAAAAAATACAAGGTGTCTGACAACTGTCTTCTCCAGAAGATATAAACTTCATGCAACTCAAGAAAACAAACCACCTTCATCAGCAAATTTTTTCATCAATTTGCCAGAGATTCTTCTTCTCATCTCTTCTTTTTAAAGGCCATTGTTTTGAATGTGAATTCCTTAGCCACACATGGTAAGCATTACAGGAAGGGGCTGCAGGTGAGGAATGAAGCCCACAGCTTCCTGTTGAATAGGCAGCAGGTGAATGCAAGACTCAACCTCTTTCTGCCTCCACTGCACATGGTCTTCCTCTGATTCTTGTTGCTTCTGCTGATTGATCTCCCAGTCATCAGTAATCTCAGAATTTTGCTTTCAATGTTTGTTTCTTATGAACAGTAAATTAACACTAAAATAATGAGAACATTTCATGAGACACTTTTAGTTCAGGTGCCCACATGCCTTTTACGATTGATTAGTGAGTCCTCTGAAAGTTCTCTGTTCCTTTTCCTTATATATGTGTGTGTGTTCCTTCTAGACACTGATTTTACATCAAGAAATGATGGTCATTTATTCTTGATTTTACATCAAGAATAAATGATCACCTAAAGAGCATTAGACTGGTCTAATAGGGACCAAATTGCTTTCAGCAAATTTTACACTTGCCTGCAGTACCATGGAATCTTGAGAACTCTGGAATAAGGTTTTAAGTGCTGGATAACTAGAATCAATTGCGTTTTCACATTGTCCAATTTATGGTTACTCACAGACACACCAGGAAATTTCAAAGAGCTGCTAATAGGCACATCTTTTGCTATCTACACTTACTATAAAATGGATCTCATAGACTAAGCCTGTGATTAAAGGAAAAGTTTTAAAAATCAATAGAAATGTCTGGTTGCATGAACACAATATAAATTTTTTCATGCTTTCAGGGCCTTATCAGGAGATAAAAATATTAGATTATTTACCTTGAGAATGAGGAAATTGAATAAGATTGACAAAAGATTTAATAAATCTTCAACTGTATGGGGGACATTATTATATAGACATCATTGTCAAGCTGTTCTTCATTTCCAGTGAGATAAAAATAGGAGATTAAATTCAGGATAAGGGATTTAGATTAACTCTGTGGAAAAACAGCTTGACAGTAATGGTTCTCTGATTTTAGAAAAAGTCACCAAGAGAATACAGAAAGTGGTGGCAGAAAAAACTTATCGCCTATCCATGAAGGCTTATTGTTCTACAATTGGTCAGAGGATTCAAAAGTTAGCCCAACTCTTCAAATATTTATCAAATGTTCTTTGCTGAAGTTTGGTCGAGAAAAAGGACAAATCTATCAATAACCACTGAACACAATATCACAAGATCAAAGTGCCTTGGGAATTCATAAAAGACCTTATATCTTTAGGGAAATCGAGAAATAGTTCATGTCAAATATAAATTGAAAAAATAATTGGAAACTGACCAAGATTAAAAAAGAAATTTGTGGTGAAAAAGTGGCATGTTGTGGTTGTGTGAGTGTGCATACACACATGTTTGAGGACAGGGAAGTAAATTTTACTTAAGGGAATAATATCAGCAAAATCACAGAAACAATTTACATGGATGAGAGAGCAGTTTAATTCACATGAAAGGTAGATTGAGCTAAAGACAGCAGATCATCTTCTGTGGGGAAAGAACTCAAGAGAACAGGTAAGTGAGTCACAAAAAGAATTTCAATCAAAAAAAAAAAGGGGGGGGGGAAGAGAATTAAAAGGAAGATGACCAAAGTATTTCATTCATTCTTTCAACAGTTATTTGTTGAGCAACTGTTATGTATTACTGAAGCCAGGGAGCACCAAATATTTCCGAACTCCATGGATCTTACAATATAGAGGCAGATAACATTGATTAAATAAGGATGCAAATAAGGCTATTTATACAAGTAAAATAAAGACTGCAGAGATGATCAACTGATGGGGAAGGAGAGTGGCTGATGAGGGTAGTTAAGGGATGGGTAGTATTTGATAAGACTAAGGAGGTAGGCAGAGACCAAACTTATTAAGAGTACAGGGAATGGGAAGTCCTTATAGGGCATTGAATATATGTGGGTAACATAAACATAACAATATTTACCAAAAAAAACCCTAGTGTGGAGCATAAATGAAAAGAAGGGTGAGTTATATGTGGAAAGAAAAATTGGAAAGCTATTTCTGCATTTCAGGGAGCAGATAGTCGTATCTTGGTATGGGATAATGACTACAGAGATGGAAAGAAGTGATCCAAAAGGAGACCTGGTTTGAAGACTAAATGGAGATTTATTGGAGGTAGTTATAACAAGACCTATTGCCAGAGTTGCTACAAAGGTTGAGAGCTTTGCTCCTAGATATCTGGTTCGTATAATTGATTGGCTGGCAGTGACATTTGCAAAAGTGTGGCTATGGAAGGGAAGACATGTATCCCTACTTGAATTTAGGAAAAGTTGAGCTTGAGTAGCCTTTGAGATTTGAAGTAAATGGATTAGTAGATATTTTGATATACAGGATTGAAGATCAGATGCTCTGTGATTAAGATATAAATATGCACATCTCTTTTGTGATGGTCTAATTAAACAATAGGCATAAATGAGATAACCCAGGGAAAGAAAAACGTTGTAGAATGAGAAGAAATGTCTTAAGAAATGTCTGATGTCTTAAGAAATTCTAACAACTGATGAACTGGATTACCAGACAATGATCCTGAAATTATCTTCATGGAGTTAGTGAGGGAACAAAGAAAATAGGACAAATAAAGTGTCACAGACACCAAGCAAAAATATTTAAGAAAAGGAGTGGAACTGACTCATCATGCCAGATGCTACTGTGGGGCCAGATAAGGTGAAGACTAGAATGTCTGTGGAGTCAGAGGGGGCATGAAAGCTTTCTCTCATCTTCCCAGGCACACTTAAGTTTATCCCCATCTGCATTTCACCAAGGTGCACTTATTCCTGTGACAGTAGTCATTATTTGAGTTGGGGCCATCTCCTTCCCAAGGGAAGATGAGGACCATTTTCTGTCCTCATCCATGTCTTATACATGTGGGGACTGAAGGGAGATTGAGATCTTAACCTAAGAGTCTTCCTTCCAGAACTCTCTTTTCAGAACTCTAAGGCATAGTTATTGCAACTATTCTTAAATGACTTCTGCTTTTTAATCAATCTGCTCTATTTCTTTATCTGTCATGTCCTTGTAGATATCAGACACTTTTGTTAAATCGCATAATAGGAAGCTATCGATAAAAAATCAGAAACCATATCATTAGATTTTGAAATAAAGCAAAGTATTTGTCCTCCTAAAGCCTGAATTACTTTTGAAATCAGAACTATAATGAGCATTTAAGTAAGAAGAGTTAATAACCACATGCTCTGGATTTAAACTTTAGGAACAGAGTAAATTACCTTTCTCTCCTTCACTTTCAAAGGACAATTTCCTCCTTCGAAGTTTACAATTTTCTCCTTCAGAATCATTCATGGATTGTGATCGTAGTAAGAGATCAGCCTTTGTTAATGGAACATGAAGATAAATGGAAGTTTACTTGACGTGAACATGGTGCATTATCAGGGAACTCTTCACTATTTCATATCATCAGAACCACTTTGAGTCTTAATTATTAGATTGCAGGCAAACAGCTACAATAGTTTACTTAACAGTTGTCTCTAAATTATAAAACAGAATGCTAGAATAATTCTAGCAATTTCACCATCTGATGGGGAATCATAGTAGAAATTATTTATTGGACATGTTTGGAGATGATGCAGTCTTTTGAAACAAAATATTCCTTTATGTGGGATGTGTTTTATGCAGCTTGGTAGAGTCAAAATGACAAAAAATTCAAAACTATAGTTAGTCTCTATTTCTACACATAAAAAGTATAAACTTGTTTCAATTACCTATAATATTTAATTTACATTAATGAACATCAAGTTAAATTTCACAACAATAAATATGAGAATGAATGCTGAGAGTCCTTTATTATACTTGTTCCCAGCTCCTCCTCCCCACTCTGAGAGTAATCTTTATAATATATGGAAGCTCCTACTTAATTTATTTGGGTGCTGCCTGAACTTTTATAAAAATAAGTAACTAAGGCAGATATTTGTTGTTTTTCAAGACAAAACCAGAATGAGGTTGGGGACATTTGTGATTGTACAAAGTACTGAATTAAAACCATTATTGGAAACATGCTGTCAGTAACTTGAACCTTTTACCTCCTAAATATTTTTTAATCTTTCATTGCTTTGAAAGGAGACAAGTATCTGTGCCGATGTATCAGGATTCTGAATGGCACCCTGGTGAACTTAAAAGATGCTTCTTTTCAAATTTCTCACAGCGCCTGGGGATGACTATCACTCCAGGGAGAATTAAATCTACTACATTTCAATACCTAGATATTGACATAAATATCTTCACCCCCACCCCTGAGAATACACTAGTGAGCAGATAAATATATCTGCAAGTATTTAATGGCAAATACTGGGTTTCTGATAAAAAAAAATTATTTAAAATTAGAGTAGGGGTTTAGGATTTGAGGGAGAAGAGGATGCCGGGGGATGAACGTGGTAATACATTGTAGATAACGATATACATTCTATGACCATAGAACAGCATTAAGCTCATGATAGCTCATAAGGACACATTTTTACAGTGGAAGAGATTGAGGGCTGAAGAAATTGAGGGCCTAAGAGCTGTGCTCCCAAAATTCATTTTAGGTTAACTACTGTGTAGACTTATTTAAAATTTTATTTCTATTAGACCATATATTATTCATTCTATGGAATTAATTTTGAATCTATTGTAAAACCTGATTAACTTATACTTTTGTGATTTGGCAGTTCTGTTAATGTGGGCCTAAACTTGAATCAGGCAAATCTTTTCATTATTATTGAGAAGTGGTAAATGATGTGTGATATAAATAATAGCTGAAAGAATATTTTATCCTTTGTATAAGACAAACTCTTTTAAAAGATTTTCAATAGTCTGGAATCAGGATTTTCTTAAAAATAATTGGCATAATGTAAACTAAGAGTATTTTAAACCAATATGTCACCTAAGAATTCCTGCAAGGTCAAACTTAATTGATCTGCTTAAAATTATTCAACACATTTGAAAATAATTAAGCTAAATGCCTTCTCTGTAACTCAGGAATTCCAATATTCATCTGTTTCTTTCTAAATATGCACAAATGATAAAATTTTGTTGTAATTTTTGCTTGGTTATTTTCAGAAGTATTTGTGCAATCCAAGAATAAGATAAAATGTCAGAAATAAAAAAAGAAACAAATAGTTAATATGTACCTTTGCACTTTCATGCCTGAGGTTGAACGTCAACTCTAGGTTTGTTAGAAAGTGATCAGAAAACTCAGGATACATGTCCAAAACCTCTAGCAAGTCTTCCCGCTGAATCTTATGCAAGTCACAGTATGTGAGAGCTCTTACATCTGCATTAGACTTGCCAGGTTTGGCATAAAGATGAACCATTTCTCCAAATATATCATTTTTTCCTAAAAAAAATTAAAAAAAGAAAAGGTAGAAAGAAAAAAAACGGGAGAAAAAAGGAATCAAACTTAATGTTTTCCTTTTAAAAATAGAATGGGATCACTGATCTATGATGAAGCCCCGAGCCACAGATTTCAAAGCGAAGATCCCACAGAACACATACATGACCAGCAAAGTTAAGGCAACTGGACTGGCTGCCCAACCCATAATATATTTGTCTAGAGGAATTTTGCCTCTAATTGTCACTGGTTCTGATAGAATCTGTTTCATTTTCTTGTTTTGGTTCTTTGGTTAAGCATCTAAATTTAGCAAATGTATCTCCACTCAGGTATGCTCAGTGAAGTGTGTTGCCCTATAGCATTTTAAAGATAATTTCAAGTAGATTTTATCTGATTTTGTCAACCCAGGAATATGAGAAAGGCCACAGTGAGTCAGATTTATATTCTTTGTGTGTCCAGATAGTCCCTGGAGGTGGTGCCAACAAGAGCTTATACTGGAGCTCTTTCAACCCTTCAAGGATTAGGGAGCAGTCTGAACATACCTTGTTTCCTTTAAGAACTATTTTGTATTTGCTCTTAATGAATTTGTTCAATTATTTAAAATCTCTAGTTACATTTCCTCAACATAAATAGTGATGCTTTTTGTCATATGGCTTTTGTTCTGAAAGTTTGTCTTTGTTCTTCTGCAAACCTTGGGGCTAATTCAGTGTCTGGCTTCTGATTGATGAGCCCTCCTATCACCTCTGCCTAGCCACATGCCACCTGATTTTTAAAGTCTTGCTCAACGATAAGTACACAAATGACAGCAATAGCAACAAATAGTTTTTGAGAACTAAGTAGTTACCAGGTGCTCTATCAAATACCTAAATGCACTATTGTGTTTTATTCCCCAAAAAAATTCATGAAGAAATTTGTAATTATTCTTCAAATTTTGTTAATAAAGAAAGAGGATTAAAGAGGTAAACTGATTAGCCCAAGGTCAATTTAGTTGGGTGAAGTAGAGGGAGGGAGAGAGTAGCCAGGACTAAATTCCATGCATTCTGACTTCAAAATCGGAAGTCTTTACACCTGATGATTTAATCATTTATTCACAATATTTCCCCCAAATGTTGTGCCATTTGCATGTTTTTGAACATCAAGGTACTTATGTGATGTATACACTTAACAAATACTGACAGATCACCTGATTATATATTACTTGTAAGATCATTAATGGTAACATAAAATAGTACTTTCTTATAGCTACCCTGAAGCTTTTTTCAGATTTAAGAAAAAACTTCCTGTGTATATTATTTTAGTTTTTGGTGGCTAACTCATATATTTCCCATTAAGGAAGATATCAAAGTCTTTTACATAATACAATTCTAATTAGTAAAAAATGCTATAATATTCTTATTTTAAATGAGAATTTAATGGGAAGAAGTCAAAATAGCATGCCTTTTTAAAAAAATACTTATTTTTTAGTTGTAGTTGGACACAATACCTTTATTTTTTATTTATTTTTATGTGGTGCTGAGGATTGAACCCAGGGCCTTGCACATGCTAGGTGAGCTCCACCACTAAATCCTCAAAATAGCATATCTTCACCATATTAAAAAAAAATGACATCGAAGTGAAGGCATTAACCATAGCTTAAATACATACTCACCAGTCTTTTAAAAATGAAATGAATAATCATAATTTGTGAGGACTTTAGGTGGTGACTTACATGGAAATGGGAACAGAAAAAGGGAATATCTTGAAATTTAGTTTTGAGAGCTCAATATGGATATTATATTTTTAAAAAGCTCTGAACTGAATTAGCATGGATTTTCTATTTCAATTCGTTTATATGGATATAAATGAGCAAAGAGTAAGCCACTTGACAGCTTAGCAGCACTCTGTAATTACTATTTCATAATACAAGAAAGCTTGTTACCTTTTCACAGAAGCTATGGCTGGCTGTTTTGAAAAATAGGAACGTAGGAAGCATGCACCATCCCTGGCAACATATCAGGACAGGCTGCCAAGGTCAAAGCTACGAAATCCTAACTTCATTGTGTGGCCTTGAAGTGATTTAAAATGTTTTTAGTCTTTGCTTATTGGACAGGAAATCATATTGCATACATGGTCAGTTTGAGGAAAATATTAACAAAATTATTAAAATATATATGGGACCACTCAAACATTTTCTTTCATGTGTTTAGATCATCTGCTGTGCCTTACTCTGGTTCTACACAACAAAAGAGAAACCAGATAACATCCCTGTCCTTTGGGAGCTAACAATCATATAGGAACATTATGAATTGGGTGACATGAAACCATTGCATTTCATGCTCATTATTAAAATGGGGATGGATTTAATCAAGAAGGGAAAAATGAAGTTTTCCCAGACTCTGGGGTCAGTGTTGTCATGGGGAGAGTGAGACTTAAAGTTTAAGTTTTCTGGCTTCTTTCTGTTCTCTTCTCTAACATTCCAAAGAAATGCTACAAGTTCACATGGTATAAATTTATTTTTAAAGAAGCTAAACAGATTAAACATGGCCCTTCTTTTGCATTCAAACCTTCTTATTACTAATTGTAATATTATTATCTCTGACCCTGGACTTATGTTTATAACTTCATACCACCCAGATAAGTCCTCATTTAATTCCATTGGTAAAAGTACATAGTAAATATGTGAAATTCATCAAAATGTAAACCTGGCTCATGACAGGGCATTGGCACATGCAGACAAGTATATCTACAACATTATATATTCTATTTTAAGATGTTAAGGGATCAAGCATGAAGCCAAGATTGTCTAACATGAAAAGGAAAATGCTGACTATTTTCATATATTTGGCCTCAAAGATGAGAGTAGGTGCCAAGAACCCAAGAGAATCATGGAAGCTTTTACACATTGGAGAAAAAGTGAGACAGTGAAGCAAATATATTTTCTGCAATGTTAATTTGATTTGAATGGACTTTTAAAATAAAACTTTAAAATTACTAACCAGAATTAAGAATCCTTATAAACAAGTATATTGGTCCTTTTAGCTATCATTTTAAGCTATTTATTGCAATAGCTAATACCAGAATTTGTCACTGTTCAGCTTTGAAACACTTACCCAGAATAGCTACCACAATGTCATCTTTAAGGATTTCAATGGAGCCTCTGGATAAGAAATACAGTGCAGTGAGGACATCCCCACAGTGAACCAGGGTGTCTCCAGGAGGTGCATGAGTGGTCTTGAACTTCATTGCCAAAGCTCTAAGGCAACCTTTGCTTGCCCCCCGAAAGGCTTTGCAGTTTTGTAGCAAAGTCTGGTTCAGATGTAGACAAATGTCAGCTTGTAAGCATTCTGGGAAACCCTTTAGGACCTGAAGGAAAAAAATAAAGAGTTTCATACTACCAGTGCACGAGGTACCTCAACCTGAAATAAAATACATTTCTTGCTCACAGAACTGCAGGTGTAGTCATTGTCACACAGTAGTTCTTACAATTATTCTACCTCGCCTACCTTAATGAATACTAAGTTTGCTAAACATGTCAGAAATTTTAACTCAAATACTCCTTCTCTGAATTAACTGCAGGCATTCAGACTCAACACAAATGCTGTCTCATTAAAATGTTATGCCTACAACTTTTCACATTGCTTCTTCTCCCTGCATCATGTTATTCAGTATCATACCGCGCACAGATGTAATGCAATGTGACAATTAATAAGACATAACTAATGGAAGGCAATACAACTAGAAAGATAATCAACCTTCTGAAGGAATTTCAAGTCAATTCAGATTGCCATCTCTGGGATATATCTGAGTTATAATTACTAAAAATGTTGATCCTGGAATAGCCATAGTATTTGCAAATGTCACATACCAGGGAGTGCTCTTAGTTTAACAGTATGTGGCTATTTATGTTTCCTATATACATTATTAATATTGAATATTTTGATAAGCATTGAAAATAGAGAAAGGAAAGGAGAAGAGCAAACATACTTTAAAAGTGTAGTTTAATTTCCAGAAATGGTAATTGTGCAGGCATTTACAGTGCATACATAAACTTCTAAAGTGCTACTGTTTTGACAATCTATTCAGTGGTTAATTTAAAACTTGTGGAAGAGATTAAACAATAGCTTGTGACAAGTGCTACTCAATTTGAACGGAATAAAACTTTGTTATTTTTATGAAATTCCCAGGATACAACGGGTTGAAGACACTCAACTCCTGCTTTTTTTTGTGTCTTGCTATTTTAGGAGTCACATGCAGATTTTGATTTTTATGTTGACTTTCTCCTGCCAGTATAAATAGTATGTGTTGAGATGGAAAGAGGGGGAATTACACGGTGCAATTTATAGTAGAATAATGCAATTTGGGGATTTTTTTGTTCAACTTTGGTATGCTATTTTAATTATAGCATATTATATTTAAAAGTAATCATGAATTGTTTTTAAGGCAATTCAAATATATCTGGCCAAAAGAGGAACTTCAAATTAAATCATATTTGAGTAAACTTACAATTACTTATATTTTCAATATTCAAACAGCTATAGAGATTCTACTTTGATAGGATCATCATGTAATGTAATTGTGATATAACATGAAAGAATCACTAAAAGGTATAAAGTCCAACAGTCATAATCGTCTGCTCTTGTTTTCTTTGTTGTATAGAGTTACCTACAAAAATGGGTAGAGGAGAAGCCATGGAAATGAATTTTGGCTATGAATTGCCATAGGTTGACTCTTGTGCAAGTCACTTCACCCATCTGTTTCTTTTCCATGAATAAGGGCCTTTGAAATTAGCTATAAGTTATCAACAAATAGCATGCCAATTGTAAGAAACTGCTCAACCACCTCTATGCCACTCATACTTTCATCCTGAAGATTCTCCACCTGATTCAGGTCTAAAAGTAAGGAGTCCTTCTCTGGCTTCCTGGGTTCCTGGGCACTCATCTGCAAACTCTTCCCTGACCAGTAACTCAGTCTTGTTCTACTTTATTGGATTCTGCCCAATTTGCTTGCTTGGACTGAAGACCTCACCAATGAGACTTGCCTACTTTTGGCCAATTTTGTCTCCAAAGTCAGGGATTTTTCCCCCCACTCTTGGATGGAATCCTATATCAACTTAGCTATTCTCATGGAACCAATCCTCTAGGTCACTGATCCCTTTTACCATCTAAACTACCACAGTGGATCCTTGTGCTGCCAGACTAGATTTGAACTACGTTTGGACACTGTTTTCTGAAATGTCACTTTAGTTGAAGGTTGTATAGGAGAAAAATATTCTAAGTAACTGGCCTCCACATATGATTTACATCTCTCTGAAGCACCACTGTCCACAAATGACCACAAATAAAGATGAATAGAGTGTTACACCAAGTAAAAAATTAGATATGTTCATCTTTCTCTTAAGACACAGTTGTAATAAGGTTCAAGAAGGTTTTTTATACTTCACATAAATGAGGAAATATGTTGTAGCTATAAACTGGAATAAGATTAATGAGCATATAGCTGCTGTTTCTGGCATTTTCCCTGAAGACACACTGTGTATATTAGTCTGGTTATAGAATTTAAAAAAATGAAAGTGTGTGTGTGTGTGTGTATACACATAAGTGTAAGCATGCTTTGAGTTGGAAGGCAGAGATGATATGGAGATGAGGTTCCTTATTTCTTTGAGTGTGTTATATAAGCTATGGATTCAGGCATGAGCTAAAGTCCTAGCTCTGTCACTTACCAGTTGTATGATTGGTTGAGTTACTTCTCACAGACTCGTTTTTTTTTTCTCCCTTGGTGTGTGTGTGTGTGTGTCTGTGTGTGTATGTGTAACTCAGGAATGCTCTACCACTGAACTAATCCCTGACCCTATTTTTATTTGTTTATTTATTTATTTTTTTGTGACAGAGTCTTGTTAAGTTGCCCAGGCTACCCTTGAACATGTGATCCTCCTGCCTCAGCCTCTTGAGTCATTGGGATTACAGGTGTGTGCCACTGTGCCCTACTCAGTTGCTTCTTTTTAAAAATTAAATTGATCACATAAACTTCATAGAATTTTTGCCACAATTAGATATGATGAGGTATATAAACCATCCGATACATAGTAGATAGCCTTTGACATAATTTTTTTTTTTTTGTCACCCAAATTTATTGTTCCTGAAGAACTGGTATGTTCTCTTTTGCTGGAAATTGAGTGACAAAAAGCTTACTAGTTTTTTTTTTTTTCCTTTGGTCTTACTGGTTAGGAAATTTTCCACATAGTTTTGTTTTCTATTGACTCAGCAGAGTTTAAATGCTTTATGCTCCATGTATCATCAATTTAAGAACTCTGTTTTCTTGCATCTCGCTGTGTTCTTGTTTCCTTATTTCTGCCTTCTTAAAAGTCCTGGCTACTTACACTTAGATTTTCACTGTCTTAAATCCTTTTTGAAAGTATGCAGTTAAGAAAATAAATTTACAAATATGTTCTTAGAATTCCAGTGTTCTTGAAATCACCCACAAAACGTTAAGGGTACATGCAAAAGTATTTCTTTGTTAAATGTCCTCAGCTCGCTACATTCATTCTATTAGAGGTGACACCCATGGCAAAAGGTTACATAACATTGGAAGAGTCATACAGCCTTCCTTTCCAGGGGCAAGTTACACAGAGCTCACGTGAGCTTGTACAGATTAAGGAATGCTTGTGTGGTGTTAGCTCTACACTAATTTTCTCTCAAATATTCTTAATTTAAGAGATAACATTCAACTAGTTTAGTATTACATGAACCCCAGTTTAAAGACATTTGAATATGAACAACCCAACAATAACAATGAAGCAAGATAGCATACATAAATCAAACAACACTCATTAAAGGAGTCACATAAAACAAAGGGGGAATAAAATGATTACATAATAAACAGCTACCAAACATTAATTCAGAAGTACTCAACGTCATGTTGAACTTCTCTAAAAGCTATGTATGCTGACACACAGTGGTATAAAATTACTATTGGCAATTACGTAGTGTGCAAATTCAAATTTTATGTATACTGAAAAACAATCAAAAATATTTAGGAATGAATGAATGCTGAAGTTAATATAAGCCTGAAACATCTAACTTGATAAAATATATTAATTGAAGTGTGTGTCTCATTAACTTTTTAATCAATAAACCCTAAAATATAAGTTTATAAATTTATACTAATAAAAAAATTATGCTACCTATTTTATGTATTGGGGCACTAATGAAAAAGAAGTTTAACTCAGGCATATGACAGATCTAATTTAAAAACTATGTCTGATTTTTAATCAGTGGCATCTGATCAGAGAAATATTATAATTAGTGTTTTTTTTTCTGTTTTGGACATGTCTTTATTATTTCACATTTCAAGAAGAAAAAAGAGGTATTTATTTCCTTAATCAAATTTTACCTGGCTGCTGATAGAAAATGATTTCTAAATAAAGTTAAATATTCCCAATATATTGATAATAAGCTGTTATTCTTTCCTCAAATTTAAGACACAATATTCAATATTTTCTGTTTCTCAGCCTGATTACAAAATACTCTTTCATGGTGGGTACACTTTCTAGATTGTGTTTGGAAGCATGCCAATAGTTGAATTTTTACCAAAACCCTCTCCAGGTTTCTTTCATAGTATTGTATTTGTTTTGAAATAAATAAAAATGTATTCTCTAGTTTATATCTCATGGCCTGATAGTATAGAAAGTTGGTTTATGTTGTAATAATGTTTATTATTCCTTTCGTTTAATGTAGCTATAAAGGGGAAATTTCCCAGAGGCAGGCAGAACAGAGCACATTTAGAAAGACAGTCAGAGTGTGGCAAATGGTTCCCCTAAATAGCAGATTAATCATATGTACAACTTTGGTGGCTGTGTTAACTGTCATTAGGAAATTTTCTAGGGAAATTCTCTGGGTCATTAAATGTACTTAAATCTTGACAAATTAGGATCAATCAAAACACAAATTAACACTCCCTGTGAAGCACTAAACCTTAAGCATGATTATCAAATAGATTATGCAAGTAATATATTAAGTCTTAAGCTCTGCCTTACAGTACAGTTTTAATATTTTATAGCATTTCCTGATTCTGATAGAATCATTGATTTTTTTTGATAAATCTTTAGCACGATAAGGAAGCTTACTTTTTTCCATTTCTAGAAGTTAACAGAAATGTCCTAACAGCATGGATTGTGTTATTTCTATATAATTCCAGATCATATTTATTTCTATGGTTAGGCATTAAGAAATAACACATATATTTCATGTGTCCTTGGTGATTTCATGTTTATACCACATTTTAGCCACTGACTATAATGGGTAGCCTCTGTAAGAAGTTTTAACCCCACATATACATTTTACCCTAGTTGAAGCTTAAATTGCTTC